CTTGTGACGGTAATGAGTTTGAGTCCACGTAATGTTTAATGGTGTTCCAGAGATAACTTATGCACAGTTTGTGCTTGTAGAAGAGGTTCAGGATTGGGAATACCCTAAACTAATCCTCAGTGTCAGCTTTTGTTTTGAGTAAAGTAGGAAGAGGAGCTGTGGCTCACAATGATAAAGTGTGCCCAAATTTTCCTTCTCGGTCACGTTTTCCCCGCTGACTTTGATAGATTGAATTTACTTGTGCGTGTGTGTGTGTGTGTGTGTGCACGGCCTTAAGTCGAGAACCTCCTGAGCGCCACGTGGACATGTAATCCCCATTTTAGGTCTAGTGGAAGGACCGTGAGAATGTAGCATGATCACCTGAAGCACCATCCTAGGAGCACACCATTAAGTCATCTCACCTTAAAATGGTCTCTTTCAAATAGCACTGTACCTAACTTGACCTTGCTGACCTTAACTGTACAGGAAATTATTTCCTTTAACCACATACCTGTTTTGGAAGCTAGGATTTTGAACTCGAATAAATGATGATGCACATTATTTCACAACTGGTCACCATTTTTTTCCCCTTCAGACTGATGTCTTAGTGGCTTTGTTTAGTATCTTTTTTTTTTTAAATTTAAGTTTAGTGTAAGTAAAGAAAACAAAGACGCCCATGACAAGATACAAAATAACAGATCAGTTGCATTTTATTTATACAGTGCGAAATTGCAACTGTTGCCTCAAGAAGCTTTATATTATAAGGTGAAGACCAGGAGGAGGCAGGACAAAAGACACATTGGAACAGAGAGAGAAAAACAACTACATAAATGGCGAAAAAAAAGCTGGATGTGGCAAATATAATGCAAACCTGTTTTCATTTTGTGTCAGCAAAGGTAACTTCCAGTTCTAGGGAACAAAAAAGTTGCAATCTTTTTTTGGAATGTGAATAGACTAGTCATTGTTCTCAATTAAACTTGGCGACAGTCCAGTATTTACTGGCAAGGACACCTGTTAAACTTTTAACTCCAAGTTCATTCCAAAAAGAAACTGCAACTGCAAAAATATCACAGGAAAGTGAATTGCTTTGAATCAAACCTGCCTCTTAATGATTCTGCCAGAGGTTCCCTCCTGTTAAAAGGACGTTTTTCCTTCCCCTTGTCGCCATGTGCTTGCTCAAAGGGGTTGTCTGATTGTTGAGGTTTACTCTCTATTATTGTATGGTCTTTACAATAAAAAAGTGAAGTCATTTGGCACTAAATGAGTAAAATGTAATTGAACTGATTATATTCAAACACAGCAGGAAATGCATTTGCTCATTTTATTTTGTTTTATGGTCAGTGACATCTCTTGTGCCTGCTTTAAGGCAATTTATATTAGCAAAAATATAAATAATTTGGTTTATAAATTCGTGATGCACGGAAAAGTTACGTCGCTAGGCGGCGATCTTTGCGGTAACCCACGGTGCTGCGGGTAGCGGTAATGAGAAATCCTGCAGTGTGGCGTCACGGGCGAAAAAAAGGGAGCGACACCCCACCTATTCCCTCCCCCTTCGCGACCCCGAGTCACGCCATAGGCTCTTCGCCGCATTAGTCGCCGCTCTCTGTTTGCTCATTGGCCCGCCAGCCTGTCCGTGAGCGCGCTGAGAGGGAGTTGACGTAATCTCTTCGGTAAATCAAGACAATCTACCAATTCTTCTTCTCGCTAGTGTGCAGATAGGCGTCCGCCGTTCATCTGTAAGGGAGAGTAAAGTAGCCAACGAAGTGGCCGTTTCCAAATACAAATCCTTCCACCGGAGGATACCGCTATAATGGGTGTTTTTCACGGAAATGGACTTTATAGCAGTTTCCTTGCGCACAGATTCTGATAGAAACAACACATTTTGACGCCTGCTAGCTAGCGTTAGTTCTCGCCACTGTCCGGTGGTTTTGGTTTCGTGTTTTGCAAGAGTCTCCAAGCGTAAGTATATATTTTTTAAAATAATATATTTATATTTTGGGGGACTGTTGTGCACTGGGTTGTTATTACAGTTTAGTTTCAACGATGGATAGGGAGCAGTTGTCTGTGTTAACTAATACACGTCCGGTGGTCAGTGGACCTCTACGTGGCCATGGTTGCGATAA